TTCGGAGCCCAGGCACATACAACAACCCTTCCCCTCCCTCCCGTAACGCATTCCAGCGCAAATGAGCCATGAAAGCAGTTGTGCTGGTCCATTAGCTCCGGCACTGACGTTTGGAGCGGTGAGTAGAGGCTTCTTGTTGACAAGGAGCCACGTTGAAAAGACTTATTACCTACTCTTACTACAGCTAAAGCGGTAGAAAACCCACGCGGTGTGTGCCTCCTCGGGCCTTGAAGCGCTCCCACCTGCCTTCCCAAACGCTTCAGAGCATTCAAAAATAACCCAGCGGCGCCTCTCACCCCAGGCACAGGGCTTTGCTGCGGAGAAAACCCACCCCCAGCCTTCTAAACGCAGCTACAAACACAGGACACAACAATTTTCACAAATCGCCCCGATTCCCAGCACGGGGAAGTTGCCTCAACGACAATTTAACGGCAGAGGGAATCCACGCCAGCTGCTCAGGCTCCGTCCTGCAGAGCCTCAGGCCCTCACGCTGCCCGGCGCACCGGCCTCGCTCACCTTATAGGACCACATTCGAAGTTTATGGTCCTGGCAGAGAGCGAAGAGAAAGGCATCGTGATCGAGGCAGTGAACGGAGAGGCTGACGGGCCGGGGTGACGGGCAGGTCCGACGGGCCACAGTCGCCTCTGAAAACACAAAGTTTATTTCAACGGCGTAAAAGAAAAACTAAAAAAATCGAGGCCAGCACATCAGTTCAAGGCCACGGCTTCCGCCTGCACACGGTGGCCGTGTTATCCCCAAGTACGCGCCACCAGTTAGGAACAAGTGCGACATTTCAGCGCAAGGGCAAGAACGCACAACTGTCATAATCCTTAATCTGCGCTGGCTGCGAGCCACATCCTGGGCAAATCCTCGGAGGCCAATTACTCCACAGAACGTACTCGTAGGCGCAGACACACACCGAAGCAGCAGGACCCCATTAAGAGGAACTAATCCAGTCCCACCTTCCGCGCCGCGACGCGTCCTGTGACCCAGTTAACTTTTTTGGCAGAGCATTTATAGCTGCTCACTCGCCTGTCTTTGACTCGAGTCAGGTGAGGGAACCGAGAGGGTAAAATTAGTTCCAATTCTTTGCTGCCAGACACTAACCTGATGGCAGTCGGCATCCAGCCAGTAAGGAAGCGCTGCACCACCGAGCTCTGCTTCAATTCCACGATCGAAACCGTTCCTTTCGAAACAAAAAACGAGATTGAGAAATAAATCGAGTGCTGGTTAACAGAACGTTCACTGTCACAAGCAAGAGGCATCACGGGCACGGCGTATACGAGCTTTTGCGTGTGCGCGCGCAGAGTAAACACGTAAGACACCAAAAAAAAAAAAAAATTAAAATTTGAGCAAAGTTCAAAGCGAGGAGAGAGGATGACTCGCAGAGGCGGATGCTCCTTACCGGGCACATCGTGAGGAGGCAGTTTAAGGACGAAGATCCCTCCCAAAGCAGAGGGTAGGGCAAAAAGAGCCTCCCCCTCGCTGCTGAGCCACGCTGCCGAGGCCACAGAGTTGGGCGCCAGGCCCGGCACGTTGGGGATGGCGTAGTAATTGGAAGGATCTCTGAAGCTGGCTTTGCTGATATCCGTGAACACTGATTGCATCTGGCTCTCAGCAAAAACATCCTGGAGAAGGGAGAGGACAAATCCTGAGCACACGTACACTGGGCGCAGAAAACAAAACCACCAGGCACCTGCAGGATGGCAACCACAACTCGAAAAAGCGGATTTTTCCGCTACGAACTCTCAGCACTATCGCTCCAGTTCCCTCACTGCTAAACCTGCAACCACTGCTCTTGACGAGCGGGTCGGAAAGGGATTTCACAACCTGCAAATCTGCAGCAGGACGCTCGCTTTCTCCTTCATAGACTGTAACATCCCCAAAGGAGCCCCCCAACCCCGCCACGTGCAGAGAGGAAGGGAGGAGGCAGAGCGAGAAACAGAAACGGCCTTGAGGCTGCACAAACACTGCTCGGCCAAAACTGGATTTCTCAGCACGTTATCAGCGCTGGGCTCGGTCACAAAGCCAAAACGCGGCACCGTTTTAATTAAAAAATTAACTCCGTCTCCGCCAAAACTCCCTCTGTCTCTGCCAAAACTGGTACAGGTGGACACTCAGCGCCTGCACCGAGAAGCCCGCCAAGGCCTTGGCTCTTTT